CAGCCTACTCCTTTTCAAACAGAGAAGAAAGCCCTTTTCAGACAGACATTCTGGAACATTTGCGGATAATTCAATCCGGTTTTTAACCGGAACTGTGTTTTCAGAAACACCACTTTTGTACCGGAACTTGTCCTTTCGGCTGCGTTCACACAGCAGGGAAAAGTTCCAGATGTCTGACGGCGGCGGGGGGAGAATCGGACTTATGTTAAGAAGAAGAAGAAGAAGAAAATATCATTTCTATAGCGCCTCTCAAGATAAAAATCACGAGGCGCTTAAGCATAATTCTGCGCACACGAAGACGCATAAGAGACCTGGATGATGAAGCTCATTGGTTAAAGGAATCACTGAAGCGGTGTGAAGCGCTCCGTCGCGCGTCTAGACGGTACCGTAGGAGGCGAGCTGCCGTGGTTCGCCGCATGCTACAGCAGCGGGTTATATAGGTGCGCACAGCGTCCCCCGGTCCCCTCCTCCTCCCCCTCCCTCTTGTCCGGAACTTTACCTCACCAGTCTGAAGCAGCCACCCTGTCCGTAACAAGTCCGGACTTGTTACTAGGGGCTTCGTCCGGATAAATTCCGGAACACGTTATCCGGATGTTTGTATTCAGACAGAAAGGTCTTACGGACAGGTTCCGGAACATTTCCGTTTTTCATGGCCTGTCTGAAGGGGGCCGAAGGGATGATGATATGTATTTTTTCTGTTTGTGGTATTTTAAAAAAAAATATGTATGTTTTCTTTGTTTGAAATAAACTAAACTAAACTAATCATGGCCTTGCTGAGGAGCTAAATGGCTTTTACTGTCGCTTTGAGGAAAGGAAAGTCACACCCCTCCTCCACTCCAGCATAGCTGCAGCCGCCACCCCTCACCTGGACACTCTTACTCCTCTTTCCTCTAAATCACAAGCTGCGTTCCTTGTGAAGGAAGAGGGTGTCTGCAACATCTTTAGGAGACAGATCGTACGGAAGGCACCAGGCCCAGATGGAGTAACTCCTTCCTGCCTCAGGACATGTGCTGTCCAACTAGCACCTGTCTTCACAACGATATTCAACAGATCGCTGGAGCTGTGTGAGGTTCCACCATGCTTCAAAAGCTCCACTATCATCCCAGTACCGAAGAAATCCTCCCCTACCGAATTGAATGACTACAGACTCGTGGCTTTGACATCAGTAGTCATGAAGTCCTTTGAGCGCTTGGTGCTGTCCCATCTTAAAAGCACCACAGGCCACCAGCTGGATCCCCTGCAGTTTGCCTATAGGGCAAACAGGTCAGTGGATGATGCAATTAACATGGGGCTGCACTTCATCCTGGAACATCTTGATCAACCAAGGACCTACGCAAGGATATTGTTTGTGGATTTTAGCTCTGCTTTTAACACCGTTATACCACAAATCCTCACCTCAAAGCTCTCTCAGCTCACTGTTTACCCTGCCATGTGTCAGTGGATTTCCAGCTTCCTGACAAATAGGAGCCAGCATGTGCAGTTGAACAATGTTACGTCTGGCACAAGGTTGATCAGCACCGGTACACCACAGGGGTGTGTCCTTTCTCCACTGCTCTTTTCATTGTACACCAATGACTGCACCTCTAATGACTCAGCTGTAAAAATCCTGAAATTTGCAGATGACACCACTGTCATTGGGCTCATCCAGGATGATGATGAGTCTGCTTATCAGCGAGAAGTTGAGAGGCTGGTGGTCTGGTGTAGTCAGCACAATCTTGAGCTTAACACCCTTAAGACTGTGGAGATGGTCGTGGATTTTAGGAAGCTTCCCACAGTGCTGCCCCCCCTCACAATATCCAACAGCCCAGTGTCAATGGTGGACTCATTCAAGTTCTTGGGAACTATCATTTCCAGGGATCTGAAGTGGGAAACAAACATCAACTCCATCGTCAAAAAGGCTCAGCAGAGGATGTATTTCTTACAGCAACTAAGGAAGTACGGCCTACCACAAGAGCTGCTGATCATCTTCCACACTGCTGCAGTCGAATCCATACTTTGCTCATCCATCACTGTCTGGTTTGGGTCAGCCACAAAAATGGACAAATGCAGACTACAGCGTATTATTAAAACAGCAGGAAAAATCATTGGTGCCCAACTGCCCTCTGTCCAGGAACTGTACATCAGCAGGACCAGGAAAAAGGCAGTGAATATTGTCCAAGATGCCACACATCCTGCATCTACTCTCTTCCATCTCCTCCCATCTGGCAGACGCTATAGATCGCTGTACACAAAAACTACCAGACACAACAACAGTATCTTTCCTTCAGCCATTTCTCTCCTGAATCTGTAGATTCTTTTACCGTCCTTTTACTATAGTTTTTAATACTTATTCAGTATGCTTATGTATATGTGTGTGTGTGTGTGTGTGTGTGTGTGTGTGTGTGTGTGTGTGTGTGTGTGCGTGCGTGTGTGTGTGTGTGTGGGTATGTATATATGTGTGTGTGTAAATGAACATGTGTGTAGGTATACATGTTCTTATGTGTTTTTAGGTATTTTTATTCTCATTTATTGTGGTTGTTGTCTGTTTTAGAGAGCGAACATCTACCGAAGACAAATTCCTTGTAAATGTAATTTTACTTGGCCAATAAATCTGAAATCTTAATTTCATCTATGGTGCCTTAAGATTTATTGTGAAGCACTGTCAGTTTTTTAAATCCTGTACAAATAAATTTTAACACACGTGTCTCACTCCATGCTGCACGTGCTTGCGTCTGACTGGGCGCCATTAATGAGCAGTGAAAATGCAGACAGCACCTCGCTGACCAGTGCGAGCCAGGGCGAGGAAATGTCAGAGATGGTTTTTACAACAGCGTGATGAAGATGTTAGGTTCATGGGTGTAATTTTAATTAGATCAAAACTGGTTTTCCAATCCAATTTTATTCATAAAGCGCATTCACAAGGCATTACAACCAAACAAGGCGCTGTACACTAAAAATGTTGGTTAATTAAACAGGCGTTATATAAACATGTCGAACACAGATAAAAGATAAATAGGAAATACAACAAAATTCCCAAAAATAACAGCTAAAAATCATTAAGACACAGGGTGAAGTAAAAATAGGAAAAAATCTGTTTTATTACAGATGTTTCGTTTTCTTTCAGAACCATTAGAATAATGTCAACATTTTAGGTGCAGTACCAGCAAACAGCCACAAGAGGGGGCGACATTGGTCCAACAGACGGTTTACATTTACCTGTATGTAACTCTCCAAGCAGGGAGAGGAAGAGTGGGTTGATGATGAAGAGCATCTCCACAAGGGGGCGCCAAAATGTAGTAACCCAGAAAAGATCTAAACGTTCTGACCAAACCACATCTTCCTAATTTAGAAGGAAATCAAGCAAATAAATAAGAAATGTTAAAACACACAACAGTGATCAGAGTGAAAATAACTCTCCTGCTGGTATTTTTCTGAAACTTGAAGCGATTTACTCTGACTGGCTGATTTGAGGATATCTGATGAAACATTTCATCAGCTCCATCAGGGTTTCGACTCGTTTCAGGAGCAGCTGAATACATCCTGGTGTTTGTATCTCTGGACTTTCTCAGCTCCCCGGGTTCCGTTCCCAGTCCTCCCAGTGCCTTAACTCACTGGTCCAGTTGACTGCATCATGGTTTATACCCGCCTGCTGCTGCGTTCCCCTGAAAGTCTTTTTTAATCATTAAACACAAAATCAGTTTTAACAGAATCACAGCAAAATGACCCAAAAGTCTCCTAAAGGGGGTCTGAGCCGAGCTTTTCAAAGCCGTGAAACTCTAAACTCAGCTTCCACAAAAGATGCTTTTATTGTTCATCATGATGAAAAGACTTTCAGAGCTTGGAAGAGGATCCAGCTCAGCCCGCTGTTCAGCTGGGGAAGAGAGGACGACTGGATCCCCCAGGGATCTGGTCCAGCACCACATGGTGTCCTCTGCCATTGAGTCTGTCACACCATCTGTTGACCTTCAGCCTCACAGCTGATGGTTTTGGATCCAGACGTCCTCCCTCCTGTTGGAGCGTCTGAAGCTGATCTGGAGTCAGCAGACTGAGGTGTGATGAAGAGGATGATGGATCTGCTCTTTTCTTTTCAAAAAGGGTTTTTCTGATTTAAATTGTTTATTTCTAAAGCCCCTCACCACCCCCAGTCAAGAAGGCACAAGGTGTGCAAGAGAAGAAAGACCAATAAGAAGAAACACTAAAACATGAAAGTGATCTAAAGCTTTGATCTTAGGGAGGGATGTGGCCTGCCTGGTCTCTGATGGGAGTCAGGTCCACAGCCAAGGACCAGAAAAAGCACCATCAGCCCTGGTCTTGCGTCTGGACACAGGCGCCACTAACAGGTCCATCAGAACTGAGCGTAGAGGTCTAGGAGGGACGTGATGGGTCACAAGTAAAGCTGAATATGGTGGCGCTGATCCAGATAAGAACCAGCATCTCACTGGTAACCAGTCCAGGGCAGCCAGGAGTGGGGGAACTGTGAAAACTAACCAAATAAGTAAGAAAAGTTCTCTTCTGATTCCGGATGAACCTAGTTGTACTTTCTATCATCCCTGATGTGAGAGCAGGGACCGATTGTGTCCCTGAACAGCCTCTGGAGCTAACGGCTAGTTTAAATCCAGCCCAGACCACGGAGTTGCTGCCAGCAGCAACAACAGCTGTCAGCTTTTACTGTCAGTCTCAGACTTTGAAGTTCTCAGTCAGGATCTGTCCAGCAGCTTTGATCCCGCTCCTGTTTCCTTCCACTTTCACACCCAGGTCCTCCTCTCCGCTGCCTCCTGAGCTCAGTAATCTAAATACTTTTACTCTTTTAATAACATAAAATGACCGAAAACATGTGCTGCTCATGAGACGTAAAGGATTAGATTTTAGTAGAGTGCTTGTTTTTATTTCAGCAGCCTGCATTTGAGTTGACCCCCGTGTGAGGGGGGCCACTGAGCAGCCAGAGCCCCCCCCCCAAAAAGGATCTCACAGGAACCCGCTAACAGTCTGAGACCGAGGTGAGACTGACGGAGAGCACACGGTTCAGCAGAGCAGAAAAAGGTCATTTTAATCTTCGATGATTCTAAATCAGCACAAAAATCTAGGAAACTAAGTCTCACCAGCCCAGAGCGCTTTAGTTTTCATTTATCCAACAAAGACATTTCTAAACACATCAGGAGCCTAAAGCTTTAACCAACTACAAGAACATGTTTATATTAATCAGAGGTGAGCCTCTCGTGTGCTAAAAAAGAGCTTTTCCAGATTCAGTCACACACAAAACAAGTGTTAAACCAATTCTCTGTGTCCATCGTTGGGTTGGAAGTGTTGGGTGGGGGGAGGCTTTCATCCTCCAGGTGTGAAAGAAGTCTGAGGAGAGGACTCAACGGTGGGGGGTGGGGGGGTGGGTCCGGGCTGGAGCGGACCACAGCCAGGGCCCGGGAAGCTCAGCCAAACAGTTTCATGATGTCCAGAGGAACCCAGGCTGTGTTTGGGTCACATGGTCGTGGACTCTGATGTCCCTCAGACTGGATTTGGTCCCTTCATGTTTCAGTTGGAGTCTGTGTGGAGTCCAGAGGTTCTGAGTCAGTGCAAGTCATCAGCTTTCCAAACTGGATCAAGTCCAGGAAGACTGGAGAAGTAGGAGTGTCTCTTTCTGAAAGAAGTCCTTGGATCTATCCACTAAAAGTCCACAGGTCCACCCGGCTGTGTGGAGACCTCAGTCCTACCACGGCCTCCACATGAACTGAGGGTAGGTGATGGTGGGAACCCCCACCACTGCCCTGCTCTCAGCTCCCTCCACAGAGCTCTGGTTGTGCTCTCCGTCCGTCTCGTCTAAGTCGGAGCACAAGTCCTCACTGAAGGAGGTGGACAGGGCCGGAGACAGTGCCGAGGCCTCGCCACTGGACGAGCGCCTCTCATCCGGAGAGGCTGAGCAGCTGCCAGAAGAGTCCGTGATCAGGTCCATCAGCATGTCCTGCAGGTGGTCCTCGTTGAGGGGCATGCTCTCAAGCAGGTGGTTGAGGAGCTCGGCGGCCACGGCTGCATCGATGCCCGGGCAGCTGGACACGAACATGTGGACCTCGTGCATGCACTGGATGTAGCCGGCTGCAAACCGCTCGCTGGCTTCCCGGTTCTGGATCTCAGTCTCTGTGGGAGGACAGACGCAGTCAGCCATGTCCACCTGAGACAGCAGATGTGCTCCTTTAACCCTGACAGGCCGACCTTAGCCTCCTTACCTGACTAAAGCGTCGACATGTTCAAAAAAGGAGATTTATGAGTAAAAATGAAACATTATTACCTCCATCTTAAACTTCATAATAATAATAATGACTTTTTCTTGATGTGAACTAGTGAAAACGAGTTTTTACAAATGTGAGTGAAACATCACAGATCAAGAGGTCGTGACCCTCTGAGTTAAGACCCCTTTAACCTTTCTGCTGAAAACACAGATTTTTGCACTAAATGCAGAACCTGAAATGTCTAAAACAGAAAACGGGTTTATGGAAATAATCCAAGGCTGGTTCGACATCAGTGTGATGTCACGTTTGAAATCTGTTTAAACTTTAAAGGAGCAAGTAACATGTTTGATGATGCTCCATGTCTCCTGGACTGAGGTGACCTCCTGTCCAGCTGTCCCGGTCCCAGGAGCCACTCAGAGTAAATCTGACCTTGGGTTCGGTTCTTCAGGATGTCCTCCACTCTTTTCACTGTCATCTCCAGAACTTCAGCGTTCTCAACCTTTGAATGAAGCTGTGGAAAAGATCAGGTGCGGCATTAGCAGATCCGTGGAGGATCCAGGGTCAGAACCAGGATCTGGGGGTATACTCACGTGTGTGTCTGCCAATAAGCTGCGCAGCTCCAGCAAACTCTCATTGATGCGAGCCCGTCTCTTCTTCTCCACCAGAGGCTTCCTGGTCTGCGGGGACAGAAACAGCTGGTGAGAGGCAGCACTGACACTTCCTCCATCCTGTTCTTTAAAGGATCGTTTCATCCGGACCAAAAACGTCCCAGACTTGCATCCATAGAGACGCAGCGGGACGCGCGTCTCCATCCGTCCATCTGTACCTTCCTGTCTGCTTTCTGGATCCCGTAATGGGACTCGTCCTCCTCCAGGCAAAGTCCGCCGTTGCTGGGCCGAGCAGAGGGGGCCATGACGGTCGGACCTCGGGATTCTCCGGGAGCTCAGCTGGCAAACGGAACCGGTTCCGTTTTGTTCCCAAATAAAGATGAGAATGGATGAAGCGGCAGGCGAGGCGCTGTAAGATCCAAGGGGGTGTGGGTGCAGCGCTGGGGGGCTGCTGGGAGCTTTTATAGCGGCTCATTAACATGTGAAAGCAGGCCGAGGCGCTGGCGCGGGGCGCCACCGGAGCGCACACGGCCGGAGCCAATCAGCGCTCGGTTCCTTTGTCCCCGGGTCTGACCCGGTCTGAGCCCAGAGCAACTGGACCGGCTTTAATCACACAAAAGTGTTTTAGAGGCTTTTCTCTGCGATCAGCTGCTGGAGGAAGAACGCGAACCAATGTCCCCGAGTCAGAACTCGTCTGACCTCCGGCATCGTTTAACCAGGTAACACGCGGACGAACTTCTGGTTAAGCCTTTGTTCCAATAATAATAAATCAGATGTGCTGGGACCCACCCCCTCCCCCAGCCTCAGCAGCTTTTTTCCGGCTGCAGGCGGATGTAACGCGATGCCTTCAGCCGGCAGCTGCTCCCGGCGGCCCCTCCGCTCAGCCCAGCCAGCCGGGGGCGTTAAGGGCCCTTCTCCAAAGAAAGCGACAGGTGTTTGCCCCCCCCCCCCCCCCCCCCGCGTGGGGAACGGGGTCGATGATCACCAACAGAATTCCTCTCAACTGTTTAGGAAAAATACGTGTGTGTGTGTGTGTGTGCGCGCGCGCGTGCGTGCACCGCTGCAGAGCTCCAGGTAGGGACGCCATGCGTTTTTACTCGCGCGTACTTCCAAGAACCAAAGGCTTCCCAAAAGAAGGAGAAGCTGCAGATCTTTGAAGTGCAGTTCTTTGTTTTTGGCACCTCGTGACTGGTTTATAGTGGGTGGAGTGGGGAGAGAGAGCAGCTGTCTCGCTTTTGTTGGAGCTCCTCTGAGGGACCAGGCGTCCCCTCACGTCTCTCCCTCCTCCGTCTGGGACTGAAAACAACGTTAAACCAGAGATGAATGAGTCTTAACAACTCGCAGCCAGCCTGGAGACTCTTTCTTCATTTCTTTGGACAATCGAATTAATTCAAAATGTTGCAACAGAAAAGCGAACGAGACCCGTTCTTGTCACACATAATTATTCCAACATCTTTAATTCATGCAGCCTTTTGATCAAGTTCTCCCAGGTTTTTACACCAAAGGTCACTGAGGTCGGGTGCAGATAACCACTCAGAGACCTGTTGTTCCATTTAACTCTAAACAGGAAGGACTCTTGGGACTAAACATCTCATTTACAGGGGACTCATCATCTGATGGTCACACTTCAGTAAAAATAAAGAACTAAATGTAGAGGCGATTAAAGCTCTTCAGACTCATCTTCTTGATTGTGTCATATTTCCTCTGAAACCCTCTCCTGCCTGCTTTCTGCTGACATCATTATTTTCTTTGACTGTTTTGCTTCTGCTCTGTATTTTTGGCCTCTGTCATTCAAAGCTGGAGGGGGTCATCTTGCTTCATTTGATCTGATTATGTGGAGAACATTTAATTCAACATCCACAGGTGATGCACACACCGTCATGCTGGGGGAGGTGGAGACCCGGTGTCGGTACAGGATCTGCTCGGGTGCAAGATCGGCTCGGGTCCGTCGACTGCCGATGACGTCTAAGTAGTTGATTGGCTGAACATGAACCTTACGGAAATACGTAATCACGTTACGTTGTTATCACGTTACGTTGGTCCAGGCAAATCTTTCTATTGGAAAGATGGACAACTTTTACAAAGAAATCCATCATTACCTCTTTGAAAATACACTTTTAGCATAGAGCTGCATGTATATTAGGGCTTAACGATTAACTGCATGTGCAATTAAATTGCGATGTGACAAAAGGAGATTTTCTAATCTCAAAGGCTTCAATTTGGCAGCGAGTGGTTAGCGTAATGCTAATATACATGGAAAAACCCATAGGAATGCTAATGCTAATATCGCCGATTACATTATTACAAATTATGAATTAGAAACGTGCCAAATGATTACATTTGGAGTCTTAAAGAAAGTAAAAATACCATCAATCAAATAAGTACAGACAGGTATTTTAGTAAAGCCAGGAGATTTTCTAATCTCAAAGGCTGCAATTTGGCAGCGAGCGGTGAGCGCAATGCTAATATACATGGAAAAACCCATAGGAATGCTAACGCTAATATCGCCGATTACATTATTGCAAATTATGAATTACAAACGTGCCAAATGATTACATTTGGAGTCTAATAGAAAGTAAAAATACCATCAATCAAATAAGTACAGACAGGTTTTTTAGTAAAGCCAGAAAACTTTTAACTCCAGAGTTTTGGCTAGCAGCTACAGTCTATGACAAGACGTCAACAACTCTAAACACAAAATACTTAAATAAACGGGACACACTTCTTTCCTGCAAATACAATTTCACAGGTGTTGCTAATACCTATGATTCTTCAAGCCAAGGGATGTGCTCAAAGAGGAGTTCAACATTATGAATAAGATATATAAGAAATAGTGTTTTATTTTACAAATACCATTATAAACACAAACTTATGTCTTAAGAAACATTATTTTAATAACGAAAGTGCTAAATTCTTTCCAACAGTATAGATGTGTAGTGCATTTTGTCCGAGTCGGTTTGCCGTACTTTGACGTCATCGGGAGTCGAAGGACCCCGAGCCGATCTTGCACCCGAGCAGATACTGTACCGACACCGGAAACATCCTCCTTCACTCAGTTAACTTCATAGTTAACCCCCGTCCCTGGTTTCTAGGGCAACAGTGTCTCCACGCTCACATCAAGCGCTCCAAGCACGGTGTCCTTCAGCTGAGTTGTTGATCCTGAGTGGGGTAATTCTTTCTATTCTTTCTCCGTCAAAATTAATGGTCAAATACGGGAACTATCCGGTCAACACAAGCCTTGCTTTTAACTGTTTTGTTTTCTTTTGAAAATTGTTGGAAAGAGATCAAATTTAACTTGATTAACACCAGAGCCAGTGCGCTGTTATCTCTGTGACGGTAAATGAGGGAAAAACAAATTGATCGGATCCTGCTCGTCTTTTAACACATTGGTCAGGATTGACGCACTTTGTTTTCATTTAGTTGGTTAAAAAAAAGTCAGGCTCGGGTCGGGCCAGAGACTCCTGAAAACCTTTTCGGACCGGGTCGGGCTGGGCCTCCACCCCCTCGGGCCGGGCCGGACACGGGCTCAGATTTTAGGCCCGTGCAGGGCTCTACCACTCACCCTCTTGGGCCGTTGTTATTCTGCTCTGGATATCACCCCGGCCTATTCCTCTCCATACCCCACCTAAACTTCCGCACCATAAGTCCCTTCTTCAAACATCCCTCTCTGATTTACAATACTCACCTCTGTTTTCCCCTAGACACCGCTTCCCATTTCCTCCATCTGCTGGACCTCCAGTGCACCCTTAGTTCTCCTTTTTAAAAAATAAAGAATTTTTTTTCCCCTTTAACAAGTCTCCGTCTCTGATTCTGCATGTCTTGGGTTAGACATTTACCCCAGAACATGACAATAATGACTGGTACGATGTAACTGTCCCAGAAATGAAAGCGTTTATTGCCTTTCAGTTCTGCATGGGGCTTGTGGAAAAGCCTGAGATTGAGGATTATATATATAAAACAATTATAAACTAAATAAACCAAAGAATGGATGAGTGAAATGTGTTCATGACGCTGAAGCACCAAAAACAGTGTTCTTGATTGATACGCAGTAAACACAAAATACCAATAAAGTAATAAATATTATATATATACATACATAGTTATATATGTCAACATAGGAATATATGTATATATGTATCATAAACAATAACAACACTAAGAAAATAAGACAAAAACATAACAAAACACATATCTGCAAATGTGATGCAATCCAATATGGCTGCCACCTGATGGCGTCACAATATGCAAATTATGTGAGTGAATTTGTTCCCATCACAAAATTTGGCTCATACTGAAGATTTTTCTAATTTACAATATACCTCTCTCTCTCCAACCAGATTTAAGCTACAAGTTATTTAAATAGTGATATAAAAAAACTCATATTTTACTGAAAAAACTGTGGCGCCTAAAGGGTTAACATCAAGAAAAGAGAATGAGTCAAGTTTTAAAAGTTTAAAGATTTATTACTAAACAAATTAAACAAGACTAACTTTAAACACTAGGTGTATAGTGTAACTAAGGTGAAGTAAGACTGAGAAGGGTGTATGTGTGAAATGTTCAGAACCAGCAGATCCGGAGAAACGATTAGTTCTGATGGGAGTGAAGATGATGTTTCGCGCTAAGCTTTGGTTTGGAGATTTATAACACACATTAAGACGCCATTCTGCCGGCCTACGTACCCTTGGCGGAAGTCCCCTTTAGATCAGGAATGTCGAGGTTCAGCTCATCAACATATATACCGGACAATTCATTTCCATAGGCTCCAATAACACATTTTTGTGCTAAAATGGGAGGTGGCCACCACCGCCATTTTGACCGTGTCACAGGTTCCGTCAAGCCCAGACAATTCCATAAAAGGGAAGAGAGGAGGAGCTGAGGGTGGGGCTGTAAGGCTGGGATCAACTGACGACACCCGGTCGAACTAGCTACATCCTAACCTGAAGCTAACCCAAAGCTAATGCGGAGGTGGGAGCTAAGCTAACGGAGGTAGCAACCTAGCTACAACCGGAGTTAACTGTGCACAACACCAGAGCTTCTGAGTCAGAGATACGCCGGGCTGACCGCTGGGTAAAACCGGGTGAAACACAGAGGTCTCCGAGAGCTCCACAAGCCGGCAGCCGCACAGCAGACAAGCGCCGCTGCGCAGAGCTGCCGCTGCGCAGAGCTGCCGCTGGTGAGAACCGGGTGGAAAGGTTTCCATCCCAGAGCTCCACAAGCCGTCAGCCCGCCGCAGCACACAGAGGCCGCGATCAGACAGATGTGCCGAGCTGCGGGGAGAAGTGGCGTATTTTGGCGGTTCTGGCTTGCCATAAGAACCAGCCGTCAGCCCGCCACAGCACACAGAAGCCGCGGTCAGACAGCGATGCGCCAAGCTGCTGGGAGAACCAGCCGTCAGCCTGCGCAGCTAACAGAAGTCGCGATCAGACAGAGATGGACCGGGCTGCGGGGAGAAACAGCCGGCATTCCGGGTGGAAAACATCGGTCTCCCGAGAGCTCCACAAGCTGATAGTGGGAACCCAGCTCCACCAACATGTTATATTTCAAGTGCAGCATTATATTAAATGCACTGGGTTTTACCCTATTACATTTAAATTTCATGGTTAAACAGTACATGTTAAAATCTAAGCTCAGCTCGGCAGTGACCTAAAATACATAAATATAATTTTACTTACCAAAAAAAATGAAGTGGAGACTCCTTGGACGCTCTATTAGTGCAATTAATGCCACAGCAAGTCATTTTGTCCAACAGTTGCACAAATAATATCCAAACAAGAATACACAAACACAGAGACTCAAAATCCCGGAGCAGTTTCCAAGCCAGGCCGAGGCGAGAGACAGCAGGAGCGATTTGTGGCAGCGGCAGCACGAGTGGCACAT